TGGTGAATGGGAATGGTGAATGGGAATGGTGAATGGGAATGGTGAATGGGAATGGTGAATGGGAATGGTGAATGGGAATGGTGAATGGGAATGGTGAATGGGAATGGTGAATGGGAATGGTGAATGGGAATGGTGAATGGGAATGGTGAATGGGAATGGTGAATGGGAATGGTGAATGGGAATGGTGAATGGGAATGGTGAATGGGAATGGTGAATGGGAATGGTGAATGGGAATGGTGAATGGGAATGGTGAATGGGAATGGTGAATGGGAATGGTGAATGGGAATGGTGAATGGGAATGGTGAATGGGAATGGTGAATGGGAATGGTGAATGGGAATGGTGAATGGGAATGGTGAATGGGGAAGGTGAATGGGAATGGTGAATGGGAATGGTGAATGGGAAGGTGAATGGGAATGGGGAGTGGGGAATGGAGAATGAGAATGGAGAATAGAGAATGGAGAATCGAGAATGGAGAATGGGGAGTGGGGAATGGGGAATGGGGAATAGGAGAATGGGAGAATGAGGAATGGAGAATGGAGAACGAAGAATGGGGAATGGGGAATGGGGAATGGGGAATGGAGAATGGAGAACGAAGAATGGGGAATGGGGAATGGAGAATGAGGAATGGAAAATGAAGAATGCGGAATCAAGAATAAGAAATGGGGAATGGGAGAATGAGGAATGGGGGAATGGAGAATGAGGAATGGGGAATGGGGAATGGGGAATGGGGAATGGGGAAAGGAAAATGAGGAATGGGGAATGGGTTGAATGGGGAATAGAGAATGAGGAATGGAGAGTGAGGAAATGAGAATGGGGAATGAAGAATAAGGAATGGGGAATGGGGAATGGGGAATGGGGGAATGGGGAATGGAAAATCTTTAAAATGGTGAGGAATCTTTAAAAGCGGGAGTCTTTAAAATGGGGATTCTTTCAAAGCGGGAATCTTTAAAACGAGGAATCTTTTTAAGCGGGAATCTTTAAAAAAGCGAGAATCCTTAAAATGAGAAGTCTTAAAAAGCGTGAAATGAAATCGACCAAATGAATGAGTGGTCTGTGGAGAAGTTGCTCTTTTTTTCAATTTTACGCAGGGAAAATCATCAAAATTCATGACTTTTGACACAAGCACATGTTTTCAACACTCAACATGATTAAATTGTTAAAATTATTCCAGCATCACAATCCTTATTTTGATCAACATTTTTCGTTGCGCCAATTCCCTTTCTAACAAAGCGTATTGAACGGCTCAATTTTTCGGTATTTGTTCAAGCGTGAAATATTCAACTTTGTCTAGACAAACTGTCGCGCTTCTTCATTTACAGTAATGGGAAATCCGTACGGCCAAGCATCGACTTTAATTTGAACGCGTGAGAACGACATTAAATGGGATTTGGCGGAAATCAATCTTGATTAACGGTAGCATGTACGTGCAGAGATATAAACACCGTAATGTGACGGAGTGTACACGTACAAACTTGCATGTTTCACGCTTGAACAAATAATTAGAAAGAGTAATACTGTAGACAAAAATACTCCCTGTAGCACGCTTCAATTTTCGAAACTTTATACTCGTTTACGTTTACAAAAAGCTTTTAAATATAAAATATTTCTTGGCTGCTTTATTGTCCGAGATGAAATGTTCACCATAGCATGACAGCGACTTTTACTTCAGTTGAACGATCAATAAGCATAATATTTTCTATAAAAATTTAGTTCTTTCGTGAAAAATCGCGAGCAAGTGGGCTAAAAGTTGCGGCTGCTGCCGGCAGCCGGCTGTTATTTTGAACCCTGAGGATAAAACCGGAAAACAATGTAGATCAGAGTATTCAATTATGGTTGCTTATAGGGCTGATGACTGACTTCCAATTCAGGCTAATAAAAAAAATAATAATCGAGTGCCACTGCCATCCGCCGAAAAAAAGTTGTTACGTTTTTAAAGATTCCCGCTTTTAAAGATTCCTCGTTTTAAAGATTCCCACTTTTAAAGATTTCTCGTTTTAAAGATTCCCGCTTTTAAAGATTTCTCCTTTTAAAGATTCCCGCTTTTAGAGATTCCCCGTTTGAAAGATTCCCGCTTTTAAAGATTTCTCGTTTTAAAGATTCCCGCTTTTAAAGAATCCTCCTTTTAAAGATTCCCGCTTTTAGAGATTCCCCGTTTGAAAGATTCGCGCTTTTAAAGATTCCTCGTTTTAAAGATTCCCGCTTTTAAAGATTCCACGTTTTAAAGATTCCTCGTTTTAAAGATTCCTGCTTTTAAAGATATCAAAAAAGGAATTGCCGCAACGAGACATGTTGATCAAAACAAAGATTCTGATGCTGGAATTATTTTAGCAATTTAATCATCTTAAGTGTTGAAAACAGGTGCTGAGTGCCATTTCATTGCAGCGTAGTTTTACCTGTGTCACCAGTCATGAATTTTGGTGGGTTCACTTGCGTAAATTTGAAATCAAAGGAAACTGTGAATAAGTCGTTGATGCATTGCGTTTGAATGAGTTTTGAAGGTAATTAAATTCCAATGGGTAACTCCCAGACACAGTTGAAACTACTTGGTATTACTTTCAACTGCTGGGGTGATGTTAGGTGAATGGTCAGAATTTATATTTTAGCTATCGGTCAGTACAAAATACAGACTGCAAACCGGGTAACGAAATGCAGACTGGAAATTTTGAAAACTGCTATTTCGTCTGATACATGATAACATATGTCAACTTACTTATGATGCACGATCCTAGCCGTAGAGAGCGCTATTTATGCAATAGCGAAAATCAGACCTGAAAAAAATCAGGCCTGTACGGGATTCGAACCACTGACCTCTACGATACTAGTGCAGCGCTCTACCATTTGAGCTAACAAGCCAACTGGGAGCAGGCCGTTAAGTTCATTCGTAATAATACCGTGATGATAGAAATACAATGAATATATGAAGTTCATATATTTTAAACTGCGGTATTAGATACTTATGATGCACGATCCTCACAGTCAGGTAAAGAGCGCTATTTATGCAAACGCGAAAATTAGATCTGAAAAAAATCAGGCCTGTACGGGATTCGAACCACTGACCTCTGCGATACTAGTGCAGCGCTCTACCATTTGAGCTAACAAGCCAACTGGGAGCAGGCCGTTAAGTTCATTCGTAATAATACCGTGATGATAGAAATACAATGAATATATGAAGTTCATATATTTTAAACTGCGGTATTAGATACTTATGATGCACGATCCTCACAGTCAGGTAAAGA